CAGCATGCGAACAGACTTCGACCTCATGCTTAATTTCTGTCGAATCAGAAGCTACCCTTCGACCATACTAGAGTTCGATCCAACATCTCACATAAGTAACAAGCATATGCTAATGAATGCATGACGTATTTAAATGCCCTAATGAGAGGTATGTGTATGAGAACAATGAGATGTATAAGCCATAAGATTTGACTAAAGAATAAGACAAATTTGAAGTATGACAGCATTCTTTTCTAATTCTATATTTTAATTTTATGATTTTTTTATATATACTTTATGAACTAAATACAATAAATATACCTGACTATGATTTGTGCTCTTTTGAGTTTTAGACACGCTTAATAAAAAATAATAAAACTAGATAAATTTTAATTATTTTCTTCTTAATTCATTTAATAAAAACATTTATTTTTTGTAAGGTTACAAAAAGAAAAGTATTAAAAAAACATCAATGGTGTCTTTTTTTTTTTTTTAAATAAATAAATTGAGACAACTAAAAAGATTAGATTAGAAGCAGAGGGAGTGCATCATTAGAACATTTTTTATAGGAAAAATCTTGATGTTTGTGATTGTTGTTAATGTTTTTGCTTCTCTGATTTGCTGTCCATCTCATTCCATATATTTTTTACATTTATAACTTATCTATGTAACTAGTATGATATCTAAATACTATTATGCTGCATTTGAATTTCCATGTTTCCATAAATATTATTGTAACTCTTTTCATGTATCTCTTTATCTGAAATAGATAATCTAATCATTTATTCTGTATATATGAAATACTGTAAAAGAACTGTCTATAATAACCTATAAATCTGCTAAAACTAAGATGATACATTGATGCAATGTAGTGTTGTGTATAGTACTGCTTTTATTTGCAAGAATTCTTATGACAAATATGGAACTTTGATTCTTCTTCCTTGAAATCTTGCAAAATCTGCTGGAAGACTGTATGAATTCCAATCAACTGTTGGGATAATAATCCTCATCCCGTGTCTGACACGTGTCAGTGTCTCAGATTCTTCTAGATGTGATTTTGCAGATGAAGTGTAGCAAAGAGACTTGTAGTAAGTAGGAGCAGTATGGAAAAAGAAGTAGATGTGGCTATGTTGGGGCTTCCTCCCGGCGGTGAACCATAGACTGATGATGATCCTCCATCTGGATCAGGCATTGTCATGCCTGGTGAAGATGGAGTCATAAGAGTTGGTGTAGGTGGAGTCATAGTTGTGGGAGAAGGTGGAGTCATTGTTGTTGGTGGAGTTGGTGGATTTGGTGGACTCATGCTGCAATGCAAGAACAATACATATTAGAGGTTCATGTTTTAAGCATAATTAATAAAGTGAATACAGAGCCGTCTTTAAGATGTACATGATAAATTACAATACAAAATCTCATAATAAATCTGTCATGATTAAACCATAAGTAAATAAGATCTTTATTTATTTTGTCAAGGTTGAACTATATATAACGAATATACAGAATCTCTAAAAATTTAAGACGGCTCTGATTGAATATGATCATATAAGTGCTAGAAATTCTCACCTTGTTGTTTTGGAGGATGAATAATGGCAATTTCCATGACCTGAAACAATATACAAAACAACATGTTACTAGACTTTGTTTGGATATATAAACAACTCAATTGATGATGAGTTGGTGCTAAAGTTTCAATGTTGATTATGAATATCTTACTTGGATCTTTAGTTGTAAGTGATGCTACTCCACCAAATACACAGCTTGTAGGTGCAGGATTCTTTTGGAAGTAATCATTGAATGCATAAGAAGCATGATCTACAAGTGTATTTGGGTCAAAACAAGTTCCTCCTTGTTGAATTTGCGAACAATCAGCACCATAACCACAAGCATAATCAAGAGCTACTTTTAGAGTAGTCTCTGCAGCCGATGGGCTTGCAACACACCATTGACCACCGCCGCTGCCACCAGACGATCCAGATGGGCCTGTCGGAGTAGTAGTTGGTGTTGTAGGAGTTACGGTTGGGCTTGTTGGGTTTGAGTACGGATTTGTAGAAGCCGGTGGATTTGAATACGGAGTTGTAGAGGCAGGCGGGTTTGAATATGGATTTGTTGGGCTTGTGTCCGGAGTTGTTGGGCTTTGTCCACCCGTGCTTGTGTCCGGTGGTTGAGGAGATGTCGGGTTAACGGTAGGATAAGGATTTCCTGATCCCGGTGTTGTAGGATTTACAATCGGAATCGAATCCAATTGAGTATTACTAAAATTATACGATGAATCTTCTCTCAATGTTATGGAATTACGACATAAACCTGTCAAAGAAAAAAAAGGTATTTTAACTCTTAAATCGAATGTATCAAAATTGAACCATAAATCAATGACTTACATCTATCTAACTCATTTAAAACGTATCAGAGAAATATATATCGAAAGGACCAAATTCCACAAAAGTAAAAATGAAATCACACCTGAATAGAAGGAAAGAGACAGCAAAAATAACACAATGTGCCAACTTCTAGCTTCTTCCATATCTGCAGGTTTAGTTTACTTCAATGCTTTGTTTCTGATATTTGTTGAAGTTTATGAGCAATGTTTGAGAGGCAAAGATTTGTTACTTGCAATGCAATGTTGTTGTGAAGGAGAATTTTTTTTCTTTTTTCACATGCAACTTTCTTTTTTATATATATAATAATATAGAGGCTTATAGAATAATAGCTTTCTTGGATCAAAGCGAGAAGGAAGAATATTAAGAAAACTTGAGAAAGGAGACATTGCATCGTTGGAATTAACAAGCAAGAGAAGGTTCAAAAACAAAGGAAAAGTTGCATGATGGTAAACGGCAAAAGGATCATCTTACTATTAAGGGATGTTTTTTATATGGAGTAGAATATAGTACATAAAATAAATATTTTATAATTTTTTTTAAGTAATCATATCAAAATATATTTTATAAATGTTCCACTTCATAAGGATTGTATTGGACTCAACATAAATTTGAAGATTCAGTGAAAATTTTCCTTCATAATCTCTTCAATTATAATTATCCCCCACTAAAAACATTCGAATTTTTCAAAATATCTTTTATTTTGAAAATAGAGTTTAAAAAAATTCTCACTACCGGTAATGACAAAAAATTGAAAGTAAGTAGGTGTAAATTTTGAATGCTTCATTTTTCTAAACATTCAGTTTGTACAAATTATATTTATTATTTTTGCAAGTCGGCCAAAGGTCCAGTAAAACGGATTCGATCATAAAGGCCTTAATTTGGTGCATCATAAAAAAGATTAGCGAACAGGTGAAATCTTGTGAGACAGTCAGACACCAAATTTGAGTTACTAATGTATCAATCACCATTAAAGTTAATCAGATGGCTCCATATAACACATGCCATATCAAACGATGATAGTTTTTAACTGTTTATGATATAAAAGTTATGCCACGAGCCATAATAGGTATTATCATTCTCACTTTTGCAAGTTACTACATTAGTATTTTACCGATTCTGGCGTTAGAGTGTTAATTTTGTAGGTCCATCCCAATCCATTGCACCAGTGATTCTTACCATCATACCAAAAAGGTTTTCTCTCTTCATCTGACTAATCTCTCTCTCTCTCCATGACTGAAATAGTAAAGCCATATGTGGGAACTCAATTCTGATTCTCAAAAATTTCCATTAGAATCTCAATGCCTCTTAACCGCCGTAACAATCAAACTGATCTTTCTTCTGTTCAAATCGCTAATCAACTATGGTGGCATCTAAGACTGCTAAGATTACCACCCAACGAACGCCAACACCATCGTTGAAGTGGCGATTAATGCTTATGATCACACAAGTGAAGCCCCGCCTCCTACGGTAGGAGCAGGAGGAACCGATCCAATCCTCGTGAGTTCTCCCACTGTTTTGAATCTTTAAGCTTTGACTCCTCTGCCTACCGACCAAAGCATATTTCAGATCATGTCGATCTTCCAACCTCATCAACCATTAATCCAAGGTCAAACTTCCAAACAAACGCAACTGCAATTCGTTAGATCAGAGATGCTCTTAAGCCTCCAATAACTCTGAGTCAATCTAGCTATGCAAGGGGCGAACGAATTGCCCACCAACGTCTACAACTTGGTGCAACAACAATGACATATCTCTTAGATGAAAGAGTCTTCAAAATAGATAAGAACCTACAATGTGCTCTGCCCCAATATTGTTCACCACATGAAGCGGCATCACACACTAATCACAAAACCTCACCTCACTCGATCCTAGTTTATATAATATCCATGCATCGAGGCAGGGGTGGAAATTATAATCCCCCAAAGAACTTCATCCTTGAAGATATGTGTTATGTCACCCTCAAGGAGGGGAAATGTAAGACATTGAAATGAAAAATCTTGATCAAAGAAGAAACCCACTCTCTAGGTGCATCATTAACAACCATATCCTCAAATTCCTTAAAAAACAACTAAAACTGAATAGTTATGACGAGACCAGAGATCTATATGAACATATTTAACACTTGAATACTATGCTTGATTATCATCACACTATGAGCGCGGTGAAATGAAAATATCTTGACTCTTAAAGGAGTAGCTCTGACATGGTTCAAAACTGTGCCTTATGGATGTATTGACTCTTGGAATAGAATTTTGGATTCCTTCATGGTTCAATGTAAAAATAGAAATTGCATTTGAAGACTATCATTATCCTTAGTGGAATCCAACATGATAAAAAGGAAAACCTACAAAAATACATTGGCTGATTTACCAAGGTTTTCGTCAAAGTAGGTGGATCAGGTAATAGACCAAAATGTTAGATATTCGAAAAATGATTAAGAGCGGACTCTATGTTTTACAAGAAGTTAGGACTAGAAGGTGCTCGAGGTATGAGTGACCTCTTCATCAGGGCTCAACAGTACATTAACAATAAATAAAATCTTCAAGCAGAAGAGGTGGAAAGAGGCTGAGGATCAGTGAACTAGAAATAACACAAGAGATTAACGTGAAAACTCTAAAACTAGAGGAAAAAACCACGAACATTGTCAAATAACAACAAAAGAATAGCACAATGTGAAAATTGTTACAACACATAGACTATCCTTAACCACCCAAGGCCCCACTACACCCGCAATCTCCAAAAATATATATTTAACTACTCCTCACAACACTAAAAAACAAGAGTATAAGAGAAAATATAAATAGTCAAATACAAGCTTAAAGGGCTATTGACTGATATGTCTTGTAACGAATAACTTGAATCCTATATATAGCATTGAACTCCCTCTCCCATCACAAAATTAAGCGATTTGGGACTTTGAAGAACTTAAATACTATATATAGCCTAAGACTCCCTCTTTCTTCACAAAAGTAAGTGATGTGAAAATTCTTCAACATGTATATTTTCAACTAATCCCAACAATTTCCACATTGATTGAAAATACTACATTAACTTTTATTGTCTTCACTGACAATCATAATCCACCATAAAAAGTATGTTCACATAAAGCTACACTATTTCGAGAAATTTGACATTGTCTTCACTGACAATCATACTCCATCATAAAGAGTATAGTCAACTGAAGCTACATCACTCCAAGAATTTTCACACTGTCTTCATCGAAAATCATATTTTAAAAAACTATCATACTCCACCAAATAAGAGTATACTTCACTTAAAGCTAAACCACTTCAATAATTTTCACATGTCGAAAACTAGGATAAAACTTTATGGTGTAACATCCAGGTTGGTAGGAAATTATTCAACCATCGACATAATCTCACAACACACTTTGAATCAATACTCATGTGTTAATCCGCTAGCAATATCTTGTCCTTTTCCATGACAACAGAAATGTCATGAGGATACACTTCTCAATTTTCAAGGAATATCATCACCTCCCACATCGAAGGAGACATTACTAGCATTTGACTCAGAGACGTTTCCCCATCAGGACACTTATACTTTATATGTATAATATTTCCACATTTCTAACATCTCACACCCGTTTCATTATTTTTCTTCACATAAGGCCTTCCTTTAACAACCAACACCAAGTTTGGTGAAGTATTATCCCCACCCTTCAACTTTCTTTCTTCAAAAATAATTTTACTAGCAACTTCTTCAAAACTCAAAGTTTCCTTCCCATATACCAAAATTGGTTTAATATGCTCGTAGGAAGATGGAAGATACCATATGAGTCTCAAAATTTTATCTTCATCATCAATCTTGATTCTAATAGTTCCTAATTCAAAAACAATACCATTTAGTTCCCAACCAACACAGAGTATAAAGTTTCTTTTTTGATGTGAAAGATCAGACAAAACTATAACTAGAGAGCATACTAAAAAAATTTATATGTCGTCAAACCAAGGATCTTGATACAACTTGTTGGGAAAAAACAAAGCATAGAGAAAAAGAGGAACATAATAATAACATAAGTGATTAACGTAGAAACTCCAAAATCAGAGAAAAAACCATGACCGTTGTCAAATGAAAACCAAAGAATAACATTATGGGAAAATTGTTATAACACATAGACTACCCTCAACCACCACAAGGCCCCAATACACCCTCACTCTCCTAAGAAAATATTTAACTACTCCTCATAACTCTCTAACACAAGAGTATAAGATAAAATATTAAAAGTTAAACACAAGCTTAAAGTGATTTTGACTAGTATGTCTTGTAACTAAGAACTTGAATCTTATACATAACATTGAACTCCCTCTTCCTTCACAAACTAAGCGATCTAATACTTCAAAGAACTTGAATGCTATATATAACCTTGGACTCCCCCTTCCTTCATAAAACTATGCAATGTGAAACTTCTTCAAAGCGTATATTTTAATCTAACCCCAACACAAATATCAGTATTCTAGATTTTTCAAGTGGAAATCAATTCTTATCATTTTCTAAATCAAAATATCACTTTTAGATTTTAATTTTGAAAAAGTGTTAAGAACAAAAATAACAATATTGATATACCAAAAACAAGATTTCATATAACCTCCTAACCAAGAAAGCCATATTGACTACATCATAATCTCGAACACGACTAAACCAATCTATTAGTGATGATGATAGCTTTACATGATATGAAAAAAAGATGGAATAACATTCAAGTTTGAATCTTCAAAGATGAAATCCTCCTCCTTGCTATGTGATATGCATTTTTCCTTGTAGTTTATTAACTTTGTAAAAATGATACTAAATGTTATGATATTTGACCTCTATTTATAGATTATGAAAAAGTGACATTTCTTTAGATAAATTATCTGATCGTCTCGCGAGCTGATATTTTTCATCCTTAAATAGTCGGTTGCTCATCAACATGTGTTTCATAACCATCCTTATTTCTAAGTGATTTACCTTGCTCACCTTAGGTGTTAAGCTTCCTTATACTTTCAGTATTTTCTAACTCATCCATGTGGGTATGTTTGAGTAGGCATGGCAACTGAGCATGGTCGACTTTTACCTTCCTCTTACCCAAACCTAAATTCATAGTAATTCTATGTTTCCCGCCCCAATCCTTATTGAGGAT